GAACCTTGTCCCTGTCAGGAGCTTCGTGCCCCGGGGGATCAGGGTAGAGGTCCATCCCCTTCGGGGGAAGGACATAGAACACCCCTAATTGCACTTTTTTTGTGTGGTGTTTTGCACTTGCACGTTTTTTGTGAACACTTACAGGTTTTTTTTTTTCGCACGTTCGCAGACTTAAAAAAAAAAAATCTGTTCTTATCAGTGTCCACCATCATCATTCCTGTTTGCGGGGATGATTGGTTGTATAGTACTCCTGCTGGTAGGATGGGGGTCCTGATGGTTAATACAGGCCGGAACAGAAACCGAGGTGCCCACAGGCAGTTGGGGCCCGGGAGTAATTCCCCCAGGAACGCCAGAGGGGCCCAGTTCCTCCTGGTTTGAACGGATCTACCTTGTCTGGCCAGGGGCCGGGAGGCAGAGAGTCTGCGGAACAGTGCCCCCCCTGAGAGTGGTCACCTCAGGGGTGCTCTTAGCAGCACATGGGGATGGGATCCCAAGTGTGAAACGTGCACATGGTCACTGATCCAAAACACTTTTTCTGCACTGCGCCTTTTAGGGCTAGACCTTTTGGCTAAGTCCAGGGCAATTTTTATGCTACAGGCCTCAAGGCCTAGCCAGTGCACAATTGCACGGCCACGTTTTTATTTTTACTTATTTATTTAATTTATTTTTCTCCCACGTTTGTTTCACTTTCACTTATGTGTGTGTTTTTTTTTCTCATGGACGGTAGGGTGTGGGTCCTCGGGCCTACCCTGAAGTCTAGGGGAGGATGTGTGGCCTTTTGGTTCCTTCCTCGCCTGTCCCTGGGGGGTCTCTCTTCGGGAGAGCCCCCTGACCTAGTAAAAGCGGTCTGCCAGTTTTTTTTGCTAGGTGGACCATGTGGGTACCTTAGTCCCTGTCAGGAGCCTCGTGCCCCGGGGGATCAGGGTAGAGGTCCTACCCCTTTGGGGGGTGGACAAAGCACACCCCTAAGTGCACTTTTTTGTGTTGGTTTTGCACTAGCACATTTTTTGTTCACTTACGGGTTTTTCGCACTTCCGCAGACTTAGAAAAAAAAATGGATCTCCGTAATGTGAGTTTGGATCCAGTTGCCAGAATTCTGGCCCCCTCGCTATCGGAGGACCTGTCACCCCTACCAGGTACAACGCCTAATGAATGGTTGCTTGTAGTTTATTCTAGTACTTGGTTACTCTTCACAACTACACTCCTCTTCCTTGTCTTGCCGAGTTAACCCTTTGTAGTTACTTCATACTCCATTGTGCTTTAAAGACCTTGGTTCTTGGAACCAACATGCACCCCTTTGAATACCTTCAGACCAGGCTCAGAACAGTTAATGTAACTTTACTGAACGTGATACAGCATACAGTTCAATATGAACAACGTCTTTGGTTGCATCATTTGGGCTATGGTCAGCTCTGAGGAAGAGGATATGGCCTCAACGCATTAGCCCTACTCAATGGAATGATGTTGGGTGGCATTTGTTCATGTTAAGCCTGTGTCTATCTCCCTTTATGAGTACATTAGATTTTTTTTTACATTTATTAAACAAATTATACAGTAATTCACTAGGCTGGTGCACCTTCTTCTTCTTTTTGTGTTTTAGTTTTAGTTACTCTGAAATGAAAAGGGCAGCAAAGCTCTTGTGTACATTTTGGTGGTTCCAGTTTGTGAATACCTATAGTGGCCCATTTGGTGCCAAGATGCTAGTAGCATCCATGTTTGGTTCCAGGAGGTTACACTGCTGGGAAGAGTAGCTTACCTGTAGCATGGACTTTGTTTTAATTTTATTGAACAACATCTTTTCTCTAACTCAGTGGTTCTCAACCTGTGGGACGCGACCCCTTTGGGGGTCGAAAGACCCTTTCACAGGGGTCGCCTAAGACCATTGGAAAACACATATTTCCGATGTGTAAAGAGCAGCTACAGTGTAGAAAGCAGCTACAGTGTTGAAAGCAGCTACAGTGTTGAAAGCAGCTACAGTGTTGAAAGCAGCAGTACTGAAGGTAAAACGACACTTCATAAATTATAATTACTGGGTAAATAATTTTATGGTTGGGGGTCACCACAACATGAGGAACTGTATTAAGGGGTCGCGGCATTAGGAAGGTTGAGAACCACTGCTCTTACTCTTAATATAGTGGTGTAGCTGCCCAGGCATACCTCTGTGTGGCAAGAGTTCATTATGGGATTGTCCATGGCTTGTATGGCTCCAACAGTCCCTGTGTCTTCAGCAGCAATCCTGAATCAATTAAAAAGAACCGGCCAGTATGGGAAGAAGACCTCAGCCTTCCCCGTTTTTATAGCACATGTGGGCTGGCTAGGACCAAAAAACTCGGAACTGAGCCTGCACAGTTAATCCTTTTCCCCCAGCCTGGGACAGCTGCTAGTTCAACCTGCCTACAGGATGGAGGGAATGAAGCATAAAAAGGAGTTTAACATGTTTTTGGGTGGAAAGACTTTCCTTGATGCCTAGAAAATGTATATTATATAGGGTGCGCTTGTTGGAGCCCAACCTCTGTAGCTGTAAAATAAAGGCCAGCCCTGGTACTGCAGCCCACATGGCAGAAGCATCTACATCCATGTGAGGAGACCCCCTGTGAGTAGGCTGTATCCATTGAGTGGAGAATCCTTAGGAGCACTAATACCGCCAGGGAATGAGGTTTAATTTGATCTGATCTGACCAGACCTATTCTGTGATGACATCTGGATGACCAGAGGCTTGCTACTATTTATGCGCATTTATAATGCGTATCTGGTGTGTGAGCATTCTTATTATTTACCACCAGATCCATGGTCTATATCACTGGACATCCTGAGATCATTGGAAATCTCAAGAGCACCTCTTCTTTCTGGACTGTATATATTGAGTCTACACTCTTTAGCACTTTTTGACCACCATATAGTGGCCTATGTATTTGCACTTTGTCACTTTATACTGTATGTGTATTTGCATTGATATTTTAATACTGCTGAATCTACTAGCGCTGCACCCTCTCTTTGTACATGTGTCTTGGAAGGTGTATGGGTACCTTTTTTGGTGTACAGCTGCTCATTCATTTAGGATCATTTTAGCGCTCACTTATCTCCTTTTGTACTTATTGTAAAATAAAGGTGCCAGATGGATATCAGGGATGGATGGATGGATGGAAGCAGTAACACACTGAGGCAGCTCTTCTTAGAGTGGAAGCATTGGTGCCTTCCTCTCTTTTTCTCCTCCTTGATGCCTAGTCACACAAGGGGATCCGGTGTCAGGGTTAGGTCACTAGCCTATCACCTGGCGCCAATAGTCAAGAAGGCCTTTTTATGTGGTGAGAACAAGAGAGCTGAAACACCAAATTTATGTTCTGAATATAGTCGAGAAGCCAGTAGGAGTTATTCCCCAATAACCTTGGTGGAAATGGGAATAACTGTAATAAAAAGAATTCCTAAGAAGAATTATTACCAATATAATAATGTAACCTGATTAGGCAGGTATGCTACTATATTCAGGTGAAGTACAACTGTATTATCAAATAGGACGTTAGATATCCCTAAATATGTTAGTGCCCAATCGGGGTATAGCAGGAGAGTTTTTTATGTTGACTATTCATGTATTTAAAGTGTTTCAGAAGCCAAGACGTTTTTTACCGTAATGCATTCCCCGCATTAAGGTAAAAAATGTCCCAGTAGCAGTATCACCACCTTACACCCCTAAATACCTACCTCGAGTCCTCACTCGATCCAGTGCTGTGTCCATCTGTGGTGGCTCTCTCCATGCATTCATAGGACAACGAGACAGCAGCTGGAGCCATTGGCTCTTGCTGTAGTCAACTGAATCCTGTGAGCAGAGAGCAGGGGGTGGGGCCAAGCCACACTGTGTGTGTGTCAATGGATGCACACAACTGCGCTTGGGAGCTAACCTGCACATCTACCCCCATAGCAAGTGGCTTGCTATCGTGGCAGACACCGATGAGGAGGAGCTGAGAACACCAGCAGAAGTCCCCAGAAGAGGAGACTTTGGGCAATTCCATTGCACAGAGCAGGTAAGTACAACATGTTTGTTATTTATAACCACTTTAAATCTGCGCAGGATAGGGTGTATGTACATCATAGTGTAAATACCATTGGCCTTACTAAATTAGAAACATTTCCAAGGCTTCATGTACACGAGCAGCTCCTAAACTCAAGTTTAGGAGCTTTTGGCATTTTTTTTTTGCCAAAGCTCCTAAACTCAACTCCATAAAAGCCTTTGTGTCCATCTACACATAGGCCTTTAGCAGAAGTTAGGAGCTTCCACATTTAGGTGAGGTTAAACCTTCCTCTCCTGAACGTGAGACAATCGCATTCAGGATAGGAACGTTTTGATCGCTGACCACAGGAAAATGCAAAACATGGCAAAACCCCGATAAAATGTGGCAACCATGGTACCAGATTTTTCCAGATATTTGCATATTCCCATGGCCAACGGTCAGGGTAGGCTTGTGTACATAAAGCCTTAGACTAATTCTGTTTATTATGCTTCAGTATCCCCTCTTTCTAATATTTACCATATTTTTTCGCTCCATAAGACGCACCTAGGTTTTAGAAGAGGAAAACAAGAAAAAAAATATTCTGAACCAATGGACTGCAGACATAGTACAGGAAATGACCAGAGACAGCGGACACAGTACAGGAGATGACCAGAGACTGCGGACATAGTACAGGAGATGACCAGAGACTGCGGACACAGTACAGGAGATGACCAGAGACTGCGGACACAGTACAGGAGATGACCAGAGACTGCGGAAATAGTACAGGAGATGACCAGAGACTGCGGACACAGTACAGGAGATGACCAGAGACTGTGGACATAGTACAAGAGATGACCAGAGACTGCGGACACAGTACAGGAGATGACCAGAGACTGCAGAATAGTACAGGAGATGACCAGAGACTGCGGACATAGTACAGGAGATGACCAGAGACTGTGGACATAGTACAGGAGATGACCAGAGACTGCGGACACAGTACAGGAGATGACCAGAGACTGCGGACACAGTACAGGAGATGACCAGAGACTGCGGAAATAGTACAGGAGATGACCAGAGACTGCGGACATAGTACAGGAGATGACCAGAGACTGTGGACATAGTACAAGAGATGACCAGAGACTGCGGACACAGTACAGGAGATGACCAGAGACTGCAGACATAGTACAGGAGATGACCAGAGACTGCGGACATAGTACAGGGGATGACCAAGAGACTGCGGACACAGTACAAGAGATGACCAGAGACTGCGGACACAGTACAGGAGATGAACAGAGACTGCGGACACAGTACAGGAGATGACCAGAGACTGCAGACAGTACGGGAGATGACCAGAGACTGCGGACACAGTACAGGAGATGACCAGAGACTGCAGATATAGTACAGGAGATGACCAGAGACTGCGGACATAGTACAGGAGATGACCAGAGACTGCGGACACAGTACAGGAGATGACCGGAGAGACTGCGGACACAGTACAGGGGATGACCAGAGACTGCGGACAGTACAGGGGATGACCAGAGACTGCGGACAGTACAGGAGATGACCAGAGACTGCAGACCTTTGGGGGGGGGGGGAAGCGGGTACCTGAATTTGACAGGAAGGAGGTCCTGATTCCTTTATATAGATCTTTATATCACTAGAGGGGTCACCAGTAGGAGGAAGGAGGTCCTGATTCCTCTATATAGATCTTTATATCACTAGAGGGATCACCGGCAGAAGGAAGGAGGTCCTGGTTCCCCTATATAGACTGTTATATCACATAGAGGGGTCACCACCAGGAGGAAGGAGGTCCTGATTCCTCTATATAGATCACTTTATTCCTCTATATCATATCACTAGAGGGGTCACCGGCAGAAGGAAGGAGGTCCTAGGTCCTTTATATCATCACCGTGAAGGAAGGAGGTCCCCCCTATATAGACTGTTATATCACATAGAGGGGTCGCCAGCAGGAGGAAGGAGGTCCTGATTCCCCTATTTAGATCTGTAGTTAGACCTCATTTAGAATACTGTGTCCAGTTCTGGAGACCTCACTTACAAAAAAATATTGATAAGATAGAACGAGTCCAGAAACGGGTAACAAAAATGGTGAAAGCTCTGGAGGATAAAAAATATCAGGAGAGACTTCAGGAACTTAACATGTCCAGTCTGGAGGAAAGAAGGGAAAGGGGAGACATGATTGAAATCTTTAAATACATCAAGGGGATGAATAAGGTTCAGGAGGCAGGATTTTCACCACAAAACCAAAACCAAGAACACGGGACATGACCTTAAACTAACTGGAGGAAAATTCAAAACTAATCTCAGAAAATACTATTTTATGGAAAGACTAGTTGATGCTTGGAATAAACTTCCAGCAGAGGCAGTGAGCCAGTCAACAGTAAAAAGCTTCAAACATGCTTGGGACCAGCATAGATCTATACTCAGACAAAAAAGTAAAAAAAAACAACCCACCCCAAAACAAACAAACAAACAAACAAAAAAAATGGCAGACTCAATGGACCACTTGGTCTTTTTCTGCTGCCACTTTTCTATGTTTCTATGTCAGGTCCAACTTTAAGACACATAGGAGTGTGTTACGGGCCTACTAATACCCAACAGGCATATGAATACCCGACCCTCCATCATCATGGAAGATGTCTCAGCTAGACCTGGTAATTGGTGTCTGGAGTAAGTTTTACAAGTCAGGAAAGATGTTTTTTCTCTGTTAAACTATACTCCACATTCTTACTAAGGCATTATCCCTCAGTGCCAGGCAGATGGGAGTGAGAGCTAAAAAAAAAAAAAAAAAATCAGAACTGTTCCCAGCAGCCTGATTTGCCTTTTTTATGTAAAAGAAGTCTGTCATTCTTTTCTTCTCTTGTCATCTGCCAGCTGACATCTTAAGTATGTGCTCAGAATAACTGGAAAGCAGATATTAGTCTAAATGCAGCATCGCCTCTAATACATTCATGGAGTATTTAAAGAGAGGCACCAACGTCAGCAATGAAAGACGCTCGGAGGATGTAAATGTGGCTGAATGTCAAGACGGGTCTGGACAGGATCAGCCTGACAGTCTGAGGGCTAATTTAATAGTAAAATAAATTATTAATTAAAACAAAAATGTTAAAAATATTTTTATATATATTTTCATGAATGAAAGAGAACATATTATACAGGACTGCGCCACAGATAAAAAATAAAATAAGGAAAGGAACCTATGTTCAAGCAGAAGCTGCTATCCAATTTTGATGTAAACGGCAAATAGTGTGCAAAATGAACAGCGCTACCCTTATCCTAACCATGTACACAAACTAAACTAAAAAGTCCCTACCGTGTCAAAATTACTGTAAGCATACACATATCAAAGTACCATGTGCAAATTTTGCAAAAATAATTTTACAAAAATATATCATGCAACAAAAATGCAATAATAAAATGTCACATGCAATGTGAAAACACATAAAGTCATATAAATCTCATATGGTAATAACCCGATGATGTGTAATATCTATATGGAACAAAAGGTGTGTATATATATCCCATGTGTTTGTAATGTCCACCATCAACATTAAAACGTATAATGTCCACCATGAAATTATTAATCGGTATTTGATCAAATCTTCTTAGTGTTCACCAGTTCCTTCCATCCTGGAGGACGTCAAATGATGAAACGCGTAGGGTAGGGCTTGGATGTGACGTCACCACGCATGAGGAGGATGTAAATGTGGCTGAATGGGAAGACGGGTCTGGACAGGATCAGCCTGACAGTCTGAGGGATAATTTAATAGTAAAATAAATTATTAATTAAAACAAAAATGTTAAAACAATTTTTTATATATTTTCATGAATGAAAAGAGAAAATATTATACAGGACTGCGCCACAGATAAAAAATAAAATAAGGAAAGGAACCTATGTTCAAGCAGAAGCTACTATCCAATTTTGATGTAAGCACCAAATAGTGTGCAAAATGAACAGCGCTACCCTTATCCTAACCATGTACATAAACTAAACTAAAAAGTCCCTACCGTGTCAAAATTACTGTAAGCATACACATATCAAAGTACCATGTGCAAATTTTGGAAAAATAATTTAAAAAAAAATATATCATGCAACAAAAATGCAATAATAAAATGCCACATGCAATGTGAAAACATAAAGTCATATAAATCTCATATGGTAATAATCCGATGATGTGTAATATCTATATGGAACAAAAGGTTCCATATATCCCTTGTGTTTGTAATGTCCACCATCAACATTAAAACGTATAATGTCCACCATGAAATTATTAATCGGTATTTGATCAAATCTTCTTAGTGTTCACCAGTTCCTTCCATCCTGGAGGACGTCAAATGATGAAACGCGTAGGGTAGGGCTTGGATGTGACGTCACCAAGCATGAGGTGGATGTAAATGTGGCTGAATGGGAAGATGGGTCTGGACAGGATCAGCCTGACAATCTGAGGGATAATTTAATAGTAAAATAAATTATTAATTAAAACAAAAATGTTTAAAATATCTTTTTATATATAAAAATGCAATAATAAAATGCCACATGCAATGTGAAAACATATCAAGTCATATAAATCTCATATGGTAATAATCTGATGATGTGTAATATCTATATAGAACAAAAGGTGTGTATATATATATATATATCCCACGTGTTTGTAATGTCCACCATCAACATTAAAACATATAATGTCCACCTTGAAATTATTAATCAGTATTTGATCAAATCTTCTTAGTCTTCACCAGTTCCTTCCGTCCTTGAGGGCGTCAAATAACGAAATGCGTAGGATAGGGCTTGGATGTGACGTCACCGCGCATGGTTGGGTCTGTGCTCGCGGTTTGGAGATTGCGGTGCTGTTAATTTTGCACAGTATATTTTCATGAATCATTCCTTTTTTTTTACCTATTTGAATGCAGAATATATCGTGCACATATAACAGCAACAGTATATTGGAAAGTCACAGGACACTTAAAGCAGAACTCTGTATCTCAGCACCACAAACGGAAAACACTATTTGTTTCATTTTTAAAACTTAAAACAAACTCCCCCATTCATACATGTCTCCCTGCTTTATTTTGTTGAGAAATCACTTTGAAAAACAGTCCCCTAGCATTCCTGGCCTTGTCCATCTTGAGTAAGGGCAGATGATTCATGTAGCATTTACTTCCTGAGATCCATCTGCCCCTAGCTCAGGCATGAAGGCAGGAGGGTGTGCTTAGCTGAGAAAGCCCCTCCACCTGATGAAGAAAAGGGGTGGATTCAAGGAAAGGTGGCTGGAGATGGGTAGGGGGTGGGTTAAAGCAAAGGTGGCTGGAGGTGGGTAGGAAGTGGATCCAAGCAAAGGTGGCTGGATATGGGTTGGGGGTGGATCCAAGGAAAGGTGGCTGTAGGTGGGTAGGGGGTGTATCCGAGGAAAGGTGACTGAAGTTGGGTAGGGGATGGATCTAAGGAAAGGTGGCTGGAGGTGGGTAGGGGGTGGATCCAAGGAAAGGTGGCTGGAGGTGGGTAGGGGTTGGAAACAAGGAAAAGTGGCTGTAGGTGGGTAGGGGGTGGATTCAAGGAAAGGTGGCTGGAGGTGGGTAGGGGGTGGAACCATGGAAAAATGGCTGTAGGTGGATAGGGGGCGGATCCAAGGAAAGGTGGCTGGAGGTGGGTAGGGGGTGAATCCAAGGAAAGATGGCTGGAGGTGGGTAGGAGGTGGATATATGGAAAGGTGGCTGAGGTTGGTAGGGATGGGTCCAAGGAAAGGTGGCTGAAGGTGGGTAGGAGGTGGATCCAAGGAAAGTTGGCTGGAAGTGGGTAGGAGGTGGATCCAAGGAAAGGTGGCTGGAGCTGGGTAGGGGATGTATCCAAGGAAAGGTGGCTGGAGGTGGGTAGGAAGTGGATCCAAGGAAAGGTGGCTGGATATGTGTAGAGTGTAGATATAAGGAAATGTGGCTGGAGGTTGGTAGGGGATGTATCCAAGGAAAGGTGGCTGGAGATGGGTAGGAAGTGGATCCAAGGAAAGGTGGCTGGAGGTGGGAAGGGGATGGATCCAAGGAAAGGTAGCTGTAGGTGGGTTGGGTAGCGGGTGGATCCAAGGAAAGGTGGCTGGATATGGGTAGAGGGTGGATATAAGGAAAGGTGGCTGGAGGTTGGTAGGGGTTGTATCCAAGGAAAGGTGGATGGAGGTGGGAAGGGGATGGATCCAAGGAAAGCTGGCTGTAGTTAAGTTGGGTAGGGGGTGGATCCAAGGAAAGGTGGCTGGATATGGGTAGGGGGTGGATATAAGGAAAGGTGGCTGGAGGTTGGTAGGGGATGGATCCAAGGAAAGGTGGCTGAAGGCGGGTAGGGGGAGAATCCAAGGAAAGGTGGCTGGAGGTGGGTAGGAGGTGGATCCAAGGAAAGGTGGTTGGATGTGGGTAGGGGTGGATATAAGGAAAGGTGGCTGGAGGTTGGTAGGGGATAGATCCAAGGAAAGGTGGCTGGAGGTGGGTGGGTGGGGGATCCAATGAAAGGTGGCTAGAGGTAGGTAGGAGGTAGATCCAA